ATTTAAAATAGAATGTCTATATCAGGTTGAAGTTAAGAGACTAAGCAATATTTTAAGAACAAAATGAACATAATCTCACTTTTGGTTGTGAAAGTTGAGACAAATACATGAAGTTAAAAGATATTTCAAAGTCAGTTTTGTAAGGCATCAAGACTGATTTATTCTCATTCCAAAATGGTGCAGAAAGAATAAAAAATGGCTATATATAGTTTTGAACCTAGCAGAATGGTGAAATCTGAAAGCAAATAAATGAATGTTTAGCACTTATTGTATTTATATTTATATTTATATTTATATTTATATTTATATTTGTCTCAGGAAAGTTGAATTGTAAATAGTATGTTTTTTCTTAAAGTAGTGTTTGATAGAAGCATAGGTGAGAATCTAAAATTCAAAATATAGACCCTTGACTGCAATAGGAGAGCTAATTTCACTTGCGTCTTCACAGTAAGAGAGAAAAAAGAAGTAAATAAACTAAAGAAGCAGATATCAAAAAAAGTACGTGAGAGACATTATGGTAAATGCACAGGGTCTGGAGCAGACTGCCATAATTTAAGACTTGGCTTTTGAAAATTACCAGCTGGGTATTTTAGGGCAAGTTGTTTTGCTTCTCTGTACCTCAGTTTCTTTATTTATAACATGGGGATATTAATATTAATTTATTTCATAAGGATATTGTGAATATAAACTGAGTAAAACTATATCTTATTCCTAGTTACTACTCTTTATAAATCATAATCCGAATTTTAATTCTGTCAAAAAATAAGGAGAGGAAGTATGAGGAAATATACTAAAAAGGATCAAATACTCAGAGGGAAAAAAAAAATTAGAAAAAGTAACTTTTTAAATGGGAGATTATTAGAAATTTTAAAAGTTAGTTTCATTCACATGGTGAGAGCAAAGTCATTATTTCCTAAAGGTAAAGAGGCTGGTTAGGTAAAAAGAAAAGTGGTATGAAATGTGGAAACTGCTTATTTGAAATTTTGAATATAGAAAGGAGAGAAATAGAAGTTAGATCAGAGATACTCACATACCCCAGCTACTCAAGAAGGATTGGCTTGTGTCAAAGAATAAAAAGGAGTTTAAAAAAGCAGAGAAATTTGAGATAGGATTACAGAGGAAATGAGATGACACCAGTGGTGGAAAGGTACAACTTTAGGGTGTTAAGACTTAGGCTGTGAAGAGTCTGAGTTGGAGTTTAGTGTTTTATCTACAGTGAAAAGAATGCAGAGATGGGGAGAAAAGTGGTTTGGAAAACTGAAAAAGTGTGAAGTCAATTGTGGTAGATGAGGAAGCTCATTCTTGTTTCTTTTAAGTAATGAAGAATGCCAGTTGAAAGGAAGATGAAATACATGGGATTGAATGGGTCAGGAGAAGGACAAAATATAGAATAGCAATTATGAGGAAAGTAAGCTATGAAAGAAGAATATATTGTGAAAAATCTTTTAAAATTAAGACAACACCAGTTTATATTAGGGCTAAGTAGTTCCAGATAGGTCAGGCATTGGAAGAAAGGGGAGAACACTTGTCAGAGGGAAAACCAAAGGTGATAATTACATATTTAAATATTATACCTATTATAGAGCAGTATGCAGATTTATTTTACATAACTGGAAAACAGGTTTGGGAAGGTGATTACTTAAGTAATGTTACTCAGTTAGCTATTGATAAATTCCAAATTACAATTGAGATTTGTTGTCCATTGTTGTGCTCATTGTACCTCTGAATATCAGGAGTTCTTGACAATCTATTAGTGTAGATTTGCCTGAAGGTAAACTTTATTTATTATAGAATTTATTTATAGTAATATTCTCTGGTCCAGCAAAACTGGCACTTGTTAACAAGAATACATTTTGTAATTTGTAATTACTTTTCAGTTTTATTACCCAAAACCTAGTTATATATATATATAACTAAATGCCTTTTGTTAAATCTTGAAATTTTAAAAACTTTACTCTGAAGAATCCACTATTTTAAAATTATTAAATACTTCAAATTTTTCTGCAATAACTAATTCAACTTTTAATGTTTAAAGTGTAATCCATAAGCAGCCATTCAATTCGTGTAAACAGAAATATCCTTTCCACTTGAAAGGTAAAATTTTTATAAAAATGACTGTCCTTCATAATCACTACTTGATAAATGTAAAAAAATAAATTTTAGAGGAGTGTGTCCTTTGTAAATATTATTTATAACAGATATTTTAATGTATTGTTACTGTATGGATATTTAGTTACATCTTCATGATGTATATCAGAAATTTTACTAAATGATTTTTTAACTTGAAATCACTAAACTTGAAGTCTTTGTTGTAGGTAGGAGTAAACATTTTGTTTATAAAATATTAGGGGAACAAACATATTGTGTATTTATATTATATACTGAAATATTTCTTTTGGATTTTTCTGTTCTATTTTTTGGAGTGATTGAGAAAAACTATCAAAGCTGTTTCATTAATTAATAGAACCTTTTAAATTAAAATCATTTCTTTAATATCTTTGTAACTTCCTCTTTATGAGAACAGTTGCAACTAGTATTTAAAAGATGAACTTAAATATAGGCTTTCTGGGATCTGTTGTTATAAGTTAATTTGTAAAGAGAGGATACTTTCTTTCAGTTTAACAGTAACTATAGGAATACTAGATAGCTGGAAAACTAATCACATGTTCATTTCATTACATGTTCATTATTTTAGAAAGTATATTTAGAGACAATTTGCTGTAATTTTTTGACAATATTATCCCTTGTAGCCCCAAGCTTATATAATTTTTACCTTTTTACTTAAAATATGAACTCTAACTTATATTTAATAACCAAATCTTTAATGAGTTTTTAAATGTTTAATATTATCCCAAAGTTTAAAATTATTGTTTTTATATATGTGGGAAAGAAACAGCATTAGAATTAGGGACAATATTGATGAATCTTAGTTGTGTTGATTATTAATGTATGCCCAATGTTTCGTATATATGCTAAGCAGAAAGATATTAAATAAATTGATAGAAGGTAATATTAATGTGATTAAGAATTCTGAGATACTTGATATTACTACTTTTTCCATGTAGGTCTTTGTAATATTTTAAGACCTTGTTGAGAATTCGTATCCCGTGCAGGTAGATGTCATAGTGAGCATGATACTTTAGATGATTTTACCCTGATGGGACAGAGGAGCCCAGCACACATACCTGTACTTGGTAGGTTAGTGAATTTAGATTCTAACCTATATTTGGAGAAACAGCCTCTAGATTTATTTTACATCTACTTAGTCACCCTCCTCAGTAATATTTATAAGATTACTACAAAAAAGATTTTAAAATGTGCTAACTACTCACAGGAATTCTCTGCAAAAAAAAAAAAAGTATAACTGGAGATGAGAAAATAAAATCTCTACTGTTCAGTTCATAGTAGCATGAAGTCAATATCATATGTCCTATCATAGTATTGCAAGAAAAAGAAAATATTAGGGCACCTTTTAATGGTGGAAATTTAAAGTCTTTCTTGAGAAATGACAGGAATTTATTACAAAGAACAAAAGCAGAAAATGGATTTGAAGATTTGTCCTTTTGTGAGATGTTACTTTGGAATATAGCTCCTGTCCCCTTTTTAAATATGATTTAACAAAAACCTTGATGTGACTCAACATTAAGTCTAGTTTTTCTCCAAGTATCTAAGGTTTCAACTGAGGAAGAACTAGGAATCCCTTGAGAAGTGGACTATTTAAATAAAGCATGACCTAATGTAGCAAGCAATCATACATTGCTTTTGGAGAACAGTGAGTTAAACAGGAGCCTGTGAATTTCTTATCCTTTCTTTTACTCTTAACTTCTTTATTCTATCCAAATAGAACTTTTGAATTTAAACGCATGAACATGACTATATTAAGTAATTGCATCTACTTTTTCTGACACTGCTGAACCTTTAAAGTTATGCTTTTGCTCATATCTGAGTAATATTGATGAGTATATATTAATATAAAGCATAATATTCATTAGAATTGTGTCTATACTGTAAAATTACCCCACTTCACCTATTCATAAATATTATCTACTGAGGTTGCTACTTAAGAAAAAGAAAAAAGAAAAAAAATCTTAACATATTACACTTTAAGTTTACTCTTTTACATAAGGTTTTAAAATATTTTAATGAATTAATCAACAGATATATTATGCGCTCATAAAACATTTTATATGTAGTATGTTATTTGCTTGGAAGTGAACAATAATTATGGTTCCTAACATTTTTGTGCTTATTTTCAAGACAGGCTGATGATACTATACTATATTATTCCATATTAAAGTTTTAGTGTTTAGCATAAATGATAAAATAATATTATGGCAATTTGTTAAAATGCTATTAGTTACTTGTTTATTAATGTGAAGTTAATGTTTACATTTTCAGACGGGCTCTAAAGTTATTAAAAGTTAATATTTTAGAAGATAATGTGATATTAAGAACTCAGAACTGCAAATTTAGTTGCTTTTAGTATGGATCCCTAAATTCATGTGGAATCAACTTGTTGGTGATATTCAACACATTAAGTAGGTGGATACTTTTATGCCAAAGTAAACTTCATTTCACCACTTCTTCCAATCCCCGACTGTATTCATTGATAGGAAAATTACTCTTTCAGTTTTACTCATTGAATTTCTTGAATTTTTGTTTCACCATCTCTTTTCCCCCCAAGAAAACAAAGGGGAAGAAAAGAGACTACTATTCATGAATATGGTCAGGATACCTTTAATACTCATGTGAATTTTTTATCAGTCACCGTCACGATTTCAAGTCATGAATTTATTTTTACATGCTTATTATGCATGCGTATTTACATACATTGATTATTTAATTGATCTTAAATTTCATTAAATTTGAATTAATAGGAGAATAATTTGTTCATAGGATTTTGTTCTCGTTATATTACATTTTATTTTGTTTTGTTTTATTTGAATAATCAGTTTAAGGCTTATAAAGGTTGATTTGCTCCTAAACTGCTTTGTTCCCAGACATTGCCATCTTCCCCAACTACCACCAAGTCCTCTCCATCTGATCCCATGACCACCTCCAGAGCTAATCAGGTACAGTATCATCCTGTCATCTACACCATACCTTTCACGGGTGATTGGCTGCACACTGGAGAAAAAGATAATGGTGGGTTAAGGATGTATTCGTTCATTCACCACGATCAGATTCCAAACAGCCTGGGAAAGAGGTTTTATATCTGAAAATTTGTATGCATTTTTCACTTTAAACAACAAAAATATATTCAGGTGGAAGATTACTATAATTTTGGATTTTCCCCTTTAAATTACGATGACTTGAATAAAGAGCTCTGAGGGTTATTTATTGAGTTGGTGTTTTCTGATCTCCTTATTGTTTCTTCCTTGGATTCTTGGTATATAACTTAAGAATTATCATATATGTACAAAATAAATGTTTAAATATGACTTATTGAGCAAAGGTATATCTTTAAAAGTGAGTGCACTTTCATTTGTTTTTTATTTCAGGCATTATTTACTGTGTAAATAATTTTAAACTTTGGATGAAAAGCATTTGTAGCAATCTAAAAGTAACTGAAAATTGGTATTTCTGATCATTTCAGTGCTATTTAATGACTCAGGAAATAGTATTTTCTTAGAATTTAATACTAGAGTTTTCTTTGGTGGAGTTTCAAACTGCAAAGTACAAATATATTTTATTAGTATGATTTAATGATTGTTTGGTTCTGAATATTTATAGATCATTCTTCAAAATGTGGTTAATTTTGGAAAATTTAAGGAAATCCTCTAAAATATTTTATGTAATTCATACTGTACTTTAACTTTACAATTGTGGAAAAATATATTTATTAAAATGATTAAACACATTTTCATTTTGTCTGAGTTGAGCTTCATTAAGGTGAGAAATGGTTATTTTTCTTTAATACTTCCACTTTCTTACTAATACAAGACCTTATGGGATTAGTTAAATATTAAATAAAAGCTTATGTTTTAAATATATTTTTCATAGTTGACTAATAAATCATTAACTTTGAACTATATTTGCTAAATATATTAAGTGTGGGTTTTGCATATCATCTAATATAAGGCTATCATAATTATTTTTCTCTATTGATTCTAATACTTTTGCAATCTTAGAAAAAAATTAAAATGATAATTGGAAACAAAACTAATAGAATGTTAGGAGTTGATTTTTATTTTATGCAATAGCATTTCCTCAGACAAAAATACTTTATAATGCTCACATTTTAGCCCCCAAAAATTGGTTTAAAAAGTATACATCTGTAGTGATGAAACACAGCACTTCTCTTTGAAGGAAGTGATACTGTCTATAAAGTGAGAACCAAGTTTGTATTAGTGATGCATGAAATTAAAAAGTGTGTGTGTTTATGCTTTATATTCCTTATCAATTATATGAGCTATAATTATATGATAATAGAAAGCTATTGGGAAAATAACTGGCTTTATGTTTTTTATGCTTCTTTTGCACTTCATCCTTATTTCTTTCTAAACAAAAACAAGGCAAACGAATACAACTACAATAAAAAAACGAATGCTTTTTCTGAACATAAAAAGTAAAAAATTTTGGATCTAGGAAGAAAAATTTTTTATGAAGTTAGATATGAATATTTTATTTATTTTATATGAACATGTGACTTTTATAAAATGATTTATTTAAAAGTCTAATTATATGTTGATGTGTACCAATACATTTTACTCTCTAGGTATGTTACTACATCTAATTCTGCCAGAATCTAGTATTTTTCTAATTTGAAATATTAAGTCATTTGTGTTTTATACTCTGGTCCACTATACTCAGTTATATTTATTAAATATGTTTTATTGTTACTTGTTTTTCTTCTGTTCTTGTATAAACAAGCATTGTAGCTCCTGGAAAACATGAAGCAAAATATAAAAGAACAAAACAAAATCTTTAAATTCATTGAAGAAATTACAGTTATCATTCATCTTGATGTTATCAATAGTTTTATTCCCTACAGTATTTCCCAATAGATTCTATTTATTGAAGATAGAAGGTAATGTGTGTTTAGTTGTTCATAGGTCACAATTGTTTCTTGTGTATAATCCTAATTAAGTTAGTATCACTTTATTATATAGACTTAGATCTGTAAGGGAACTGGAGTAGGATATATGAAATATTAACCCCTGCTTCCATAATTAAAATACTTTTAAACCTATAAAAAATGACTTTTATTACTGGTTTAGGTTTGCTTTGTTCTTACCCAGCCATTTCGTAGACATGTTTCCAGTTTTATAACTGGAAGAAATGGTACAAGCTCAGAACATTCCATTTTAAATTAAAAATTATTGTTTAATGTGTTCCAGCTAATATGAATGAGGCATAAATGAGGCATGCGGCCTGCCGTCCGTGAGTTTGACATGGTTGGCCTATGCTGTTGAAAGCAGCTATAAACTTTTGTCATGTGAATTTTTATAAACCAATATAAAATACATCCAGACTGTGTTATTTTCATTTTTGTTAATTATTTTAATAACTAAATGAGTTATGATTGTGTTCTAGTTCCAAAATAGTTTGTCTGTTACAAACTAATGAGATCAAAGAAATTAAGGAAACACACACCTGAAACCTATATGTTCATATTGACCAATGTCACCCCAATCAATTGAATAAATAAAAATTTAAAAGCTAAATATAAAAAAGAAATTAGAGAATATTAATCTTTTTAAAATCCAAAATAAAAAGCACAAAAAATTATTGAAGAGTTAGTTTTATCTGCAGTTTCAACATTTAAAAATATTTTCTATTCTTTAAAAAATAAGTATGTTTCAATATATAGTGAATTTTCCATTCTCAAATTTATGTAGTCAGACTGAGAGACTGTAGCTATAATGTTGTGGCTCTAATAATTTGACTCTGAAAATTGAAGAACTATCATATCAGAAGCCATATAGAATGGAGGCTTAAAGTCAAGATTAACCGAATTGCTTATATGATCATAGCCTTGTTCTGTCATTTTCTTGCTGAGTAAACTGGGTTCAGTTTTTTGTTTTGTTTTGAAATTCAAATTATAATAGTACCTCAAAGAATGGATATACAAAATAAATTCATTAACTTTCTTAGAATAGCACAGTTTCTAGACTATAATACTACATTAAGTTAAGTTATATTTATTTTATTTTTTGAAATATCTTTCAAGTAATCATGAAAAAAAATTATCCTTTAAGATGCTAAGTGATGTGGCACACAACATGTTAAAACTAACATTTTTATTTATCTTTAAAGAAAAATTCTAAGATAGTATTGCTGCTTTTCAACTCTAAAATATTTCTGTAATCAAAGTCTCTATGCTTTTAAAGATAGCATAAACTACAATTATTTTCTTCTCTATTGAGAATAGTTAGTTTTTGTCCAATTAATAGTGCAAATGTTATTATATCCCTTTGAGAAAGAAAAATTAACACTATGCAAGTTTGACATTTTTTTAAAGATGGAATTTTTAATATGAGAAAAATGTAGAGATATAATAAGTAGAATTACATTATTTGAGCAATGTATTTAAACTTAATTTAAAAAGTCAGTTGGTTTAATCTGTTCTTAGTTGATATTAATTTTTCAGTCACTTTAAGGTTCAACAAAAAGTTTTGTTAATCATTGGTACTAAAAAATAAATTTCATCTTTAATTTTTTGGTTCCTGGTTGTTAGCTTTCCTGGGATTCTTCTCAAATTTTAGGAAAATATTAAAAAGAGAGTGATTTTAGAAATATGTGCTTTATGGACATTTATTTGTGTGTGTATACTGATACGTTTGAAATTATATATCAAAATATATAAAAACAAATGTAAAATAGGTAATTCATATATAATACCCCTGCCGTGGTAACAGAAAAACAAATAAAATGTCTGGTCTCACTTTAAATTCATGAGTACAGATCTCACATGGGCTCTGACTGCTGTCAGATAATCAATCATAAGCCCATTCACCTTTTTATTCTCTAGATAACTCATAAATTCTCTTCTCCTTTCAATCTTTCTATTTGTTTTCTGTTGCTGTGTAACAAATTACCGCAAACATGGTGTCTTAAATAGCACATGTTTACTATCTCATAGTTTCCGTGAGTCGAGAGTCTGGACATTACTTAGCTGAGTCCACTGCTCCTGGTCTCCCAAGATATAATCAAAGTATTGCCTGGGGAGCATTCTCCTCTAGAAGCTTAACCACAGACAATTCTCTTGTAAATCCAGGTGGATAGCAGCATTCAGTTCCTTGCAGCTGTAGGACTGAGGGCCAACTTCTGGCTTTTGCCATCAGACTCTAGAGTCTAGAGACTGCCCAAGTTCCTGCCCCGGGACCCCCTCTACAGGCACTGCATAGCTGGGCTGTTTCCTTCTTGCAATGCTGGCAGGAGACTATTTTCAGTGTGTACTAACAAGATGGAGTCTTATTTATTGAATCTAATCACAGAAGGGACTTCTGATCTGCTTTACCATACAGCATAAGCAGAAAGTGACTTTCTATTCCCTTGCCATAGTCTGATGTTTAGAATCAAGTCAGTTTATACCTATACTCAAATGGAGGATATCACCCAAGGTGTAACACCAAGGGGCCATCTAGAATTGTCCCTACCACAACTTCCCATTATTTCTTGCTTCTTCCTCAGACCCAGTTGATGACCTTGATTATTCTTACTTCACTGAGAAAACACGAAGCAATAAAAAATATGAAAACTTTCACAGACTCACACAGCTGGCATATATACCCACATAGTCTGCCTTCTCATTTGTTATGGGTGGTAAACTTTTCCTGCTCCTAAACCTTGTCATTTTTATTGCACATTAAACCTTGCCCTTTTTATTTTACTCAAGGACATCCTTCTGCAATTCTACCTTCTCTATCTTTTATCTGTCAATTGTTTTATCTCAGTGGGATCATTTTCATTAGCATACATATATCTATTTTTTCTTCTAGTTTAAAAGACAAAAACAAAACACACACACACACACACACACACACACACACACACACCTTTTATCCCATTCTCCCACATGATAATTCATTTTAGAAAAGGATGTTTTATTTAAAAAATGATGCTGGTA